GGGCTTCCTCTCTCTGGAGGGGTCAGGCAGGGCCCCCTCTGCGCTGCTTTCCCAGGCACCAGAGCCGAAAGCCTCAGAGGGACCGCGGGAGCTCGGGGCGTGCAGACAGGTGGCTTTCACAAACGCAGTGGAAGAAAGGTGCCTCGACTGCTCTCTCTCCCGACTTGACCGTCTAGGACCTTGAGGGGACCTTCCTTTTGGGAATGCGTTTCTCAAGTCGTGGCCTGTGGGCAGGCTGGGAGTGGGGCGCAGAGACATCGGAGCGCGGCTTCTGCGTCTCCCTTTCTCGCACAGGCGTGCTCTGCGGTGGGAATGGGACGCGAGGGCGCGCCTATGAGGGCGAGTCCGTCGAAGAAAAGTCCGGTCCTTAGGCCTTTGGCGTTGAAGAATCTGTTTTTCTGTCGGGTCAAGCCCATCTAGAAGTTAACACCTGTGGTCTCCAAACTTGCCTATTTTCATGTCATGCAGTTCAAGCCAAGATTCAACTCGTCTTGAGTTTTTGTATTTAGAGCCCCTGCCTTCTCCACCGACTCCAGAGGCGCCCTCTGGCGGGAAGGAGCCTGGGTAGGAGGGACTCCGGGGAGCGGGTTGCAAAGCAGAGAGCAACGGGAGCTCAGCAGCCCCCTTTGAACTGCGGAGAAACCGAGACGAAGACGGGAGGTGGGGGCACGGGCCTGAAGCCGCCAGCTGGCCCTGCGAGGCCCGCGCCGCCGCGCTCCGCGGCGAATCAGCCAGCCGCTCCAGTCGGAAGGGGCGGGGACACCCTCGGGGGCGCTCTAGGGCGCCTGCGGCTCTGAGGCAGGTTCGCAGCTGCTCCCGAGATTTAAAGGACAGATTCCGGTAGGATCCCGGTGGGCGGCGCGGGTGTTTTCGCCCCAGGACCTGTGCAGTCTCATTCAGCTTTGGGGGGTCGAAACCTATAGCTCTTTCTGACCCCCATTCCCCAACAAATCGCAGTCCCAACAGTGTGAGCCCGTGGGCCTCGGGTGTTCGCGTTTCCCGCGGGCTCTCCAGCAGCGCTGGGGTTCCTTCCTCCGCTGCTTTCCTCCCCTGCAACCTCCCGCCCTAGCCTGTCTCCCCCACACCCACAACGCTTGTCCCAGGCAGTTTCCGGTAGCCGCGGTACCGATCCCAGGCCAGTGGGTTGGGGGTGGGGGAAAGCTGGAGCGGGAATCTCTGAGGCCTAAGGTTTTTTGGGACTTGACAGAGGCTGGATTCCCCCTCGTAGCCCAGTGCTTGTGGGCTAAAGGTTGCAGACCGGGGCGATCCACAGCGCCCTCTTCCGGCGGCCGTCTGGAGAACTACGGCCTTAGAGCGGTCTCTGGGAAGCTTTGCTACTAGGTCCTGGCCAGGGAAAACTGGTAGTGGACAGAGACTGGTAGTACATTCTCCGCGCAGTCGCTCATTCTAAGTATCAACGCGACCATATGTCAGGCTCTCTATCGGTCCACCCAAAGCCAATATAAGTTGTAATTGACTCTTTGGATCACCCAATCTCCTTGCACCAGCTATTTGAAAGAACCCAGGTGTAGATCAGGGCTTGGAAGCTGCTCTTATGCCTACAGTCCTCTTTTAATTATGCTTTGCCTCAGAATCTCGTTATGAGAATGTCCTCTCCAAGTCGGAGGGCATTTGAACTCGCATTTGGTGGCCAATGGAGTAGCTTGCACTTTCTGCATGTCCTTTCTGGAGGAGGCAGTGGCCCTATTAGCTTGACAGCCTGACACAAGGGGTTTCAGCCTTGTGTTGGAGCAGTAGGAGCATAAGCCCTAGAAAATACTGGAGCAAGAAAATTTCTGAGACTAACTACACTTGGTGGGTTCCTTCCAGCTCTCCAATCTATGGCACCAACTCACTCAGGCAGACTTTCCCCCAAATTATTCCCCCTTCTTTGGACTCTGGCCAAAACCAGAGATCCTCTCCACCTTCCCAAGCCCATCCCAGTCAATATACCTATGTTACTCTGCTTTTGTTCTTTTACATTTAGCCAGAATATCATTCTTTCCAGCCTAACAACTAAGTCATGTCCTTCTCTTAAAAAACCCAGTTGCCTCTTCTGACAACTAAATGCCTGACACATAGTGAGTGCTCAATATACATGTGCAGAATAAATGGATGAGTCTCTATTACACTATTCTGTTACATTAATGAGCAATTAATCCTAAATGAATGATTTCTAATTGCCATGTGTTTGTGTGTATGTCTGTTTAGGTAGACTGTAAACTCCTTATTTTCTGGTTTTCTGGGTTTTGTTGGGGGGTGGGGGCAGGTTTCCCCAAGACAGGGTCTCTCTCTGTTGCACAGGCCAGAGTATAATGATGTAATAATAGCTCACAGCCACCTCAAGCTCCTAGGCTCAGGCGATCCTACCTGCTCGGTCTCCCAAAGTGCTGAGATTACAGGCATGAGCCATTGTGTTCAGCCAGCTCCTTGATTTTAAGGGCCATTTCAAAACACTTAGACATGTTCCTAGAAATGTGCCCGGCACTCAGGCATTTGATAATGTTAATCACCCCTTTCTAAAATTCTCTCATTGGCTGCAGAGTCACCACTCTATCATGATTCTCTTCCTCCATCTCTGGACATTTCTCAGAGACCAGGTTCAAACTCCCGTCCTGCACTGTATACCCATCCCCATGGCTTCAGTTGCCCCCTGTTGTTGATGGCTCCTAAATCCATATCTCTAGCCAACCTCTCTTCAGAGCTTCCAATCTATATTTTCAGTTGTTTAACTCCTCATGTGAATTTCTACCTAATCTAACATATCCGAATCTGAACTTACACTGTCCCAACTTGCTTCTTGCCCTGTGTTGTTGATCTGGGTGAATGGCATGAACATCTCCCCATTCCCACCATCCTACTCCAAGCTCCTGTGCTAGTCAGTTCCATCTGCCATAACAAAATACCACAGACTGGGTGGCTTACACAATAAAAATTTGTTTTCTTACAGTTCTGGAGGCTGCAAACTCCAATATCAAAGTCTAGCAGGATTTATTTGCTAGTGAGGGGTCTCTTACTGGCTTGT